GGGTAATACAGAGTGAAGTTTTTCTTCAACAAATATTATTAGAAGAGTTCTATCTTCTGGGACATAAGGCCGTGTAGTCCGCTTAAAGTGAACAGACGTTTCGTAGGAACATTCAACCTGCATATTCAGGGTCGAAGAACAAGCCAAGTAAGAAATTAACATGAAGCAGGCAGCAAGCAAAAGCTTGGTGTTTTCTTGCTTGGTTTGCTCTTCAGTCCTGAATATGTAGGCGATATGTTCCTCCGAAACGTCGGTTAACTTTAACCGGACTACACGGCGTTATATCCCAGATGATGGCTCTCTTCATGACCACCGCTGTGAGAACCTCATTCCTGCAGCTATTGTTACGGTACTCATATCGAAGAGAACAAGCCAGTCACATGAAACTGAGAAATGACTACAGAATTTTGTCGTGAGACTTGAAGAGACAAGATCACTTCGTAGACCTAGATTAGATGGCAGGACAACATTAAAATAGATCTTAAAGAACTTCATATGATGGTGTGGGCTGGATTTATCTGGCTCAGAACAGGGACCGGCGCCGTGCTTTTTGAAGAGGATCAGACACGTTCGGGTTCAGTAGAGGCGAGAGTTTCTTGACCAGCTGAAGAATTAGCTTCAGAAGGTTAGTTACTTAGTGAAGACACTAAACCGATGTGTCACACGAGAAATAGTGCAATGTCAGGCCTTGTGAGCAAGGTAATATATTCCATAAGCCTGAATTTCTTGGTAAGCTCGCCTGTCAGTTGCCCGAGTGTTGCTGTAACCCTGTACGACAGGGTTAATTGGTTTCACATCCACACTTGCATTTTCAAGTGGGGGGCACGAGGTGGCGTAGTTCGTACAACAAGCCGGAAGGTCGCGGTTCGATTCCCGATGAGGTAATTGAATTTTTTCAATTGACCTAATCTTCCAGCCGCATTATGACCCTGGGATCGCCTCGACCTATAACAGAAACGAGTACCAGGAATCTTCCTGGAGGTAAAGCGCGGCCAGCGCGTAAGGCTGACAACCTCACCGCCATATGTGGGTCGACTGTCTAGAAAATATGGGAACCTCGACGTCTCACAACCCGATGGGCCATCACAGCCTATTATAGCGATAGTTTTAACTATTTCACTTGCACTTTCATATAAATTAACAAAGCTTTTTAATTTCTAATCTCGCTGCACTGCAAAGTCCTTACCTAGTCTCCCAGTTCGCGTCCGTAGCTACGATCTTCCACTTACCGGACCCCTCCTCGAAGCGTTCAACTGTCAGGTAAGAGGCCCCGAGTGTCAGGTTGTTCCTTGGATGTGCTGCAACCTGCATGGCATAAGAACTGCTGGTAACACTTTCCCCGAAAAAAATGTGTGAGGGTAGTTCTAAACTTTCAACGTCCAGAAATCTTACTCAGTTAAACTTCTTCACAACTGTATATTGGCGTTTTGAAATTTCACGCAACTTACCTCAAAGTGTGTAGCCAGCATATGCAAGCACGCACACACACACACACACATGTAACTGGGATTCGAGTTATCAATATCTTAGAAGAAACGTGTAGAGGTGTAGCCCATTCCTGGCAACATGCGTCCTGAATGCCTCTTTGACGAAAAGTTTTGCTTATTACACATGTAACTGGTGCCTAAAGAACTAATAACAGTTCATACATTATACTGCTAAATCCATGTTTTCCTGATAAAAATTACGTGCATAGGAATTACAATTCATAGTAGCTNGCACTGACGCGGCGGGTGAGTCAGCGCTCCCCTCCCTCCCCTCCGCGGTGACGTAACGCGCAACGCTACGTACCCGTACGTACATTATACTGCTAAATCCATGTTTTCCTGATAAAAATTAAGTGCATAGGAATTACAATTCATAGTAGCATTATTTACTTCTTATTTAATTTTATGTCGAACAAGTGTTATAACAAGAATTTAACATGTAAATTTTGTTTGAACTGGTATGTTCCCTGCACAGAAACTTGGCCTTCTAGAATACAAAGAATTATACTGTTTTATGGAACTGTTGCCTATATAAGCTACTGGACTACCCTGTAGCATAACGTCCCTTGTAGTCATGATGCCGCCATGATGAAGATGAATGCAGTTGATAGCGTCAGTTTAGGTTAATTTATGACCGTGTTTTTACTCATCTTATATTATGGGTTAGGCGCTTTTGCTATATTTATATTATTTAATACCGCCATCTTTGAGCCGATTGTCAAGGTAATGTGGGACCCTTAACGTCTCACAACCCTGTGGGCCTTCACGGCCTGTTACAGGGAGAGCTTTACTTTACTTTACTAATACACTGTATTATATGACTGGCCGATCACAGTGGCCGCGCGGTCTAAGGCATCAAATGTCTTCGCCCGCTCGAACACTGAGATCGTGACTTCAAATCCCACTCACGGCATGGATGTTTATTTACGTTTATTCTGTTTGTGTAGGAAGTGGCCTTGCGACTGGCTGATCCCCCATCCAAGGTCTCCTACCTACTTAGATTAAGAAACTGAAAGGAAAAGAAGCGTTTCACCGATGCCTTATGCTCCAAGCGGGAGCAACAGGAACTAAAATGGACGGATAGATGGATTGGTGGATAGATAGGTAGGTAAGTAGGTAGGTAGTTCATATTACTACTGTGGGTTTTATTCAATTATCACGAGTTGCACATAGCAGTAGCTCTTTCACAAAGAGGCGTGTCAATGCTACAGTTCCAACTGGATACAAACAATAAAGTCTATATCTGGATTGCATTTACAGTACATTTTTTATTATGAGTCTCGAACCGAGCAAGATGATCTAGCAGTAACATTATAGACTTGTATTCCGGAAATTTTCACTTCAAATCTCGGCCGAGACACCGGCTATCCCGATAGTAGTTTTCCTCATTCGCTCCCGACAAGTGCGGGGAGAGAAACCAACTTTGATCATGACCACCTCCAAACCATTTCGAATTCATCTAACATCATACGTAATCTCCAGCACTGAGGGCACCATAAAATAGCCCACCAAAACAAGGAAGATGAGGCTAGCCTTACTAACTTTTCTCGTGGTTTATCTTAGTCGATCTACGCAAATACAAAGACAGTTTCCTAAAGTATGCTACAACTGCTTCCTACTGCATCCTTGACAATTCATTATTTACGAGTCTTCATATAATTTGACGTTATTTGATGCAAATAGTTTAAAACAGCATTAAATAATAGAAGACTACAGAAGAATAAATCCACGATAAATCATCGTTGATAAATCTCATCAATTTTAATCTCCACATAAGCTGAGGTTCTAGTTAATCGAGAGAGACGTTCCCAATACTAATCCAACAACCACAGTATAAAACTTTCCTCCTAAAACTAAATTTAATTAAAATTTATTGAGGGTTTTCATTTTTCTCGGGTTGCCACAGTTTGTAATGTTTTATTATTAGTTGCTTACAAATTTGGCTGTAACGGTGACTCCAGGCTCTGCCACTCTCACAGGCTGCTCTATGCAATCTCCAAACTTATGGTTCCAAATGGGCATATCAAAGATCACTGGAGTTACGAAGGACACCAGATCGTCGGACAGGTCCGGAGGGCTCGGTCCTGGGTCCAGAGCGGAGCCCTACATACACAGAGAACTTCTCAATAATTACATTCACTGTTACACAGTGTTACTGCTGCTGCTGCTGCTGCTAATTCAGTTTCTTACTTGTAAGATTTGAGGTCTTCACGGCGGTGACTATGATGAAAGCAGTCTTCTGGGATGTGGCGCCGTGTAAATATAGCGTTAACCGGCGTTTCGGAGAAACGTATCGCCACAGATGTGTAGCACCTGTTCACGCTCATTCGCTCGCGGATTTCTTCTTGTCTTCTACCCTGAAGATGGAGGCGATACGTTCCTCCGAAACGTCGGTTAACACTATATCTATACGGCGCCACATCCCAGAAAACTGCTTTCATCAATTTCTTATTCATTTACATGCTTACCGAGCAGATGAAAAGTCGAAAAGCCAATTATATACGAGCAGAGACAAACTAAACAAACACATTTACACAAGTCAAAAGCAAAACAAAACAAGGCGACTTGTGTCACTTAGGCAGTAACCATTCAATTAGTATAATCACAGAACCATTATGCCGCGAGAATATGTGTACGTCTGTGTGTGTATACATTAACAATGAATAAATTTAATACTTAACAACTAATAATTAAGAAGTGTAAATAATTAAATTATTTATTTAGTTAAATAGGCGCATAATTGAATAATAGTAAACGAAACACCTATGTTGAGTGGCTGCTAATACCGCTTCCTATTTTGGTTGTCCCTGGTTTAAATCTCGGCCCTGACAACCGCTATAATGACAGGTGTTTTCATGATTTTCTTCAGGCACTTCAAACAAATTCCGGGGTAATGCCTCAAATTAGGCCGCGATTGCTTCCTTTCACACCATTTCCAACTAATTTTCTAGTAATTATCCTATAATTTTGCGCTGTATAACTTCCAACATGCCGGTCACGGTAGCCGAGCGGTCTAAGGCATGCACTGTCTTCGCTCGCTCGGAAGCCGTGATTGTGGGTTCGAATCCCACTCAGGACATGGATGTTTGTGTGTGTTTTTCTATGTTTGACTACAGGTAGAGGCCTTGAGACGAGCTGATCACCCGCCCAAGGAGTCCTACCGTATGTCTAAGATCTAGTAAACCCGAAGTGAAACGGAGAGTTTCATGGAGGTAGGCCTAGGCCCAAATGAGGGCTGTAGCGCCAATGAAAAAAAAATAACTCCCAATCTAAACGTCGTCAGACAATACATGTATATAAAATAGACTGCTGATATGTGGCATCACAGATACGTTCCGACCCTACGCATTAGCCATGTGAATCATATAAAGAGAAGAAAAATTAACATTCGAGATGTAAACCAGCATCATTTATATTTGCACTGGAATTCAACATCAAAGCATTCCGTTAAAGTCCAATTAAAGTCCCCATTAGCCTTTGTGTGCCTTTCACGAGTAAGATAACATTAATTAGATTTAGTTCGCTGTATGTGTCCGAATGCTGGATGCAATGAACGGAAAATAAGATAAAAGAATCGAGAGAAATGAACTTCCTCAGAACTCTCGTGGAATTCACAGCGACGGACGATAAATGTTACAAAACTGCTGACAGTATAGTCCAAAGAGTAACGCATAACAAAAATGCGAAAGAAACAATGTAATTCCTGAAACAGGAACAGGACAAAGGCCAAAGTCTAATCGTGATTATTGTTATCATCATCATCAATCTTACTTGCAATGACTTCGACGTATTTGGAGCCAAAACTGTTTCTCTTAATCACATTCTATAAGGTTACTTTCTCCATTTTAAAACATTCACCCTACGCAATATGAACAGATGTACATTTTTTGTTTTCTCACCGCACCATGGCTGGCGCTGTTAAGCAAATTTCATTTTATTATTGTCCAAGCTCCTTTGTTTGTTTTATTTGTTTCTCTGCTCGTGTTTATTTTAAAACTGGCCTTCGGGCTGTTGCGTAAGAATGTAAATAAATAAACAATTGGATTGAATTTAATGAAATCATTATTATATATTGACATATTTAAAACTTGAACTGTTTGTTGCTCTCAAATTTTATAATAGTCCCGTTCTTCCAATCATTAAAATATTAATCGTGCGTGTATTTACTATGGTCCTGAGGTCGACTCAGCCTCTAACAGAAATGAGTACCAGGAATGTTCTTGGGGGCAAAGGGCCGCCGGCGCATAAGGCTGACAACTTTACCGCCATCTATGAGCCGACTGTCTAGAAAATGTGGGAACCTCAACATCTCACAACCCTATGGGCCTTCACGGCCCGTTACAGGGATAGCTTTACTTTTTTACTGTAAATATATGTATTTTCAGGTGTGACACTGTTCCGCTTTTCAGTTGTCATGTCACAATATATTGCTGTTCTTGCTTTTCAGCGATAACTCTGATTTTATGTTACTGGAATTATTATTATTCAAATTATATAAATTTATTTATTTTTCTCTCCTGTTTTCTTAACTCATGCTCACTTTGTAGTTGGCCTTTCGGCTGTTAATTTGGCACATAATTAAATAGAATTATTATTATATTATTATTATCATCATCATGATCATCATCATTATACTTGCCCTGACCAATGCCGAAGCGAGTTTACGATACTGGGCGAGGTATAATGTCAAAGTGTGTGGACCATAGATTGTCGATGCACCTTCGTATCTCTGAACCTGCAAAAATAAAAATAAAAAAGGACATTACTGAAGAGAGTCAAGAAATTCTCTCCAAAGCCATTTATACGCAGGCAGTGTGTATATAAATAGCAGCCCAACTTTCTACAATTTCTGTTACTTAAAGGTCCAGCAGTTGTTACATTGGTCGCAGTTTGGCTATTGTAATAATTCACAAAACTGTTGGCATTCCTGGACATGTCGTTTAGCGCATGATAAAATACCGAACTTTCTGAATGACAGTGGCGAACATTTGTAGCCCATAACATCAAAGAATCGGTTCAGAATAAGTCCAGAAAGAGTCTACTTGTTACGGGAGGCTACGCATCAAGAGGCTAATTATATATTTTAATATCCATATTTTAGGATTTACATTCCTTTTTTCTACAGCTACTAAATATAATCGTTAATATTTAAACATTATTTTCGATAATAAACTGTATTTTGGCTAATGAGAAATTTCATAGTCTGTACATGAATAGATAGTAAAGTCCAGCAAGTGTAAGAAGTTTAGTTGGAGAATATTGAAGTTTCGGCCATTACCGCCACCACCAGAGTGCGCAGCCAATACTAGCTATAAGGAAATACTTTACATGTTTTATATTCTATTAAACTTGTTACACTTGATGGACCTCACTACTCATTCATGTGTTATCGAGTGTAAGGCTCCAGGTGTCTCCAGGAAGAGTCATAATCTGTGCTCTTCTCTACGTTGGCATAAGCTAACCATGCAGCACGCACTGGGCCATACGATAAATGCATGCCATGTTTTAATCGGGAACCCTGAAGGGAAGAGGCCGAGGTTGGAAGATCGTATTAAAATGGACCATTATTGTTATTATTATTATTATTATTATTATTAGAGGGGTGGGTTTCCCCATGCACTTAGACCAGTTATTGGTCCATTGTGCGTCCCCCTTTAATTTCTACTGTCCCCATACCCTACCGGTACTGGTGCGTGCTATCAGCCCCGTTCAGCCAACGAGGTCGGCCGTCGGTACCTGATATTTTCCCCCATCTACCAGAGGCATTGGAAACTACTTGGGCGGGAAATTGTTACCTAATTTAACTCAGAGGTCTCCTAGAGACATGAGGATCTTAAATCTACGACACGGGACCCACGACTTAAAGTCCCTCCTGGAGGACTTGTTCCCTGAATTTTTCCGCCCTTAAAAATTCCACATCCTCCGCCGCGTTTGAACCCGCGTACCTTGAGTCATGAGGTGGGAACGTTACCCCTAGACTACGGAGGCCGCTAAAATGGACCATAAATAAATGGTATATGAGGATACATGGCGGATTCAAATGGCTCAGAATAGGGAGCAGTGGTGGGTTCTTGTGAACATGATAACGAACCTTCAAGTTCCGTAGAAGGCGGGGAAGCTCCTGGCTGACTGAAGGACTACTTGTGGCTTCGAAATAAGACTGTACCCCACGGAGGAAGTTAACAAAACGAGAACCTCTAGGAAGAACTAATCGCCTACTTTCTCTGGACACGACACGGACCGCATACAAAACGACGCGTCCAACAGTTCTTTGTTGCTGCGCGTGTATTCGTTGCAGCGGTATCGTTTTTACCGAACCGTTTCCTAGCAATGATATGGGAATACGCATACAGACACAGAAACTGACGGAAGGGCTTTATGAAATGCGCCGTTCAGATGGGGTTAGGTGCCATGATATACATACCAAGTTTCATACAGATCGGTTCAAGCATTCAGAAGTTGATAACGGGGATACACAGACACACAGACACAGCACTGTAATGTCATAAGTCCACTTTTATTTTTTTTTCCAAATAAGTACAGTTGGCTAACAAAACATGCAACAGAAATGCAAGGATGTAGGAGTTATGGTTCACACAGCAGTGAGCAGTGGTTATGAAGAGTTTCATCTTCTGGAATGTAACGCCGTGTAGTCAAGCTACGTTTCGGGGGAACATCTCGCCTCCGTCATCAGGGTTGAAATGTTAGACAAACCAGCATGAAGTAGGCAGTAACTAAAACCTTGCTACCTGCTTCATACTGGCTTCTTGTAATATTTTCCATCGAAAAGTCGATTGTCTTTCAACGGATTACGTGGCGATATATCCCAGAAGATGGAAGGAGTTGCCGTTTGAAAGTATGAGGCGATTCTTGGGTCTTGAAGGAAATATTTCCCTGCTGGGGTCCTCACGAAACAGGCGCTTAAATAAAATGAAGATGCAAAGCATATATAAAATACATACATAGCATTCATACTGTGACGTGTATACCCATTGCTAGGCAACAACTCGGTAAATATTCCCGCAGAAGCAAACGCACTCAGCATTAGAACATCCACTTCTAGGCAACGGATCAGTAAGCACGCCTCCTTAACAACAGTGTCTGTTTTTTCTGCGATGTCCGCATAGTGGTTATAAAGGAGTGTTTCGCAGCATAACATGAAGTGAAGAGTTGAGTTTCGCGATGCCTGCCTCAGGAATATCAGCTTGAGAGTTAAGGAATTGAATTGAGTCCAATCTCTGGAATTAGCTATTGCAGAATAATGGCTACAAAGGAATTAGGCTGTGAAAAGAAGACTCCATGTTTGATTTGAAGTGACAGTGAGGCTGTTATAAATCCGTTGCCAGGATAGGACTAGTGAAGACTGAGGACACTAGTGGGTGTAACAGTGGACTGTAAAGTATGGAAATAGCGATAGCTCTGTAATTGCCTGTAGTTCCGAGTTGTGTGAATAAGGTGTTAACAAATCCAATCATCCAATCCAGAACCATGTCCTATAAGTCATGAAGAACCCCCAAATTATGTCAATAAGACGATATAAGCTTTGAAGCTCCCACGGCGAATAAGTGCAATACAGTCTTCTCAGGCAATCGACCGTGTGAAGACGGAAAAGATTTATAACGTTTCGCAAACTCTCACCGTCTTTCATCAGAAAGACATGAGTCTTGAATCCCTAATGACTGAGACAATGACAGTCTCCGAAACGCTGGAAATGTACGTTTCATCATGATTCGGTTGACTGCCCGAGAAAATGTATTGCATTTAAAAGAAATTTCAGAATTACAACCAGAAAATGTTAGATGTTGTTGAAAGGGGGACCTGTAGAAATCATAAGGAACAAAAATAAATTTTGGTAACAGTTTATAATGCCTGTTTTCCTAGAAGTGCGTCAATCTATATGGTCTGGCATGTTTGGGCTGCAACGAATTTTTTTCTTATAGAATTTAGCTAGAATGATTATACTTCTTTTGGCTTATTTTGGACTTCATCCATCGTCTAGTATGTAAAAGATAAAGGACCACGACGTTTCGGAGACTGGATCTGTCTCCGTTTTCAGGTGGATAGGGAAGGATAAACCTACTTAGTTGGGCCCGTTAGACATCTACGATTATGTCTTCCAAGTTATTTGTTGCGTTAAGACTTCCAGCCCATACTTTCCGATGCGTGCTACGTGCTCCCCCGCATTAGAGTCCTTGCTTTAATTACCCTCGGGCACGCGGTACCGTAGTTAGTTGAGGCAATATGCTACAAGCCAGAAGGTCATGGGTCGAGTCCCGATTAGTTAATTGGATTTTTTTTTCAATTTACCTAAGCATTCCAGCCGCACTGTGGCACTGGGGCGACTCAGCCTCTAACACAAATGAGTACCAGGAATCTTCCCGGGGGCCGTAAAAGGCGGCCAGCGCGTAAGGCTGACAACCGCACCGTCATCTGTGAGCCGAATAGTCTAGAAAACGTGGGAGCCTCGACGTCTCACAAACATATGGGTCTTCACGGCCTGTTACAGGGACAGCTTTACCTTTTAATTGTCCTAACAACATTATATGAAGAGCACATGTAAGTTCCTTACTGTGCAGTTTTCTCCGTCCTCCTGTCACTTCAACCTTCGTAGATCTGAACATTACTCTTCATACTGTTCTCAAACGCTCATCCTGTGTTGGCCTCCTAGGGGAGGGACCAAGATAGAGGGCACTCAAAGGAAATGAAGTTTTGACGTATTCAGAAAGAATAGCATTTTAACTTGTACCTCATACTCCTCTGGCGTCGTGATGTAATCACTGTAAGTATTGCAGAGACCAGCCACAATGACCTGCGAGATGCCAGGGCCCCCCAGTCCTGCGACGCTCTCGCTGATTGCGGCCCTCAGCCGCCGTCCTGACATTGTAGTAAACTCTCCAGGCACGCAGGCCATTGCCACGGTGCCTATGAGAGCCAGCTGCGTAGACACAACACGAGGCTGCCACTCGAAAGGGAAATCCATCTTGCCAAAAGAGAAATCGTTCGTTCAGAATAAACTTGCTTACCCTGAAACACATCTTAAGCAACTACAGTTTGTTACTTTGGAGCGTCGTATGGACAACCCTAAAGGCATGTGTTGCTACTTTTCTGACAGCGGCGTACGAGGGAGACAGCGTGGAAAATTTGCTTTGTTGGCACTAGTCGTAAAAACATTCGTTTTTAGTGTCCCACCTGTAAAAAGTAAGTTATATTTACTTTTTATTGTCCACTTGGTATGCTGGCCCCTAGTGAACTCATGTCACATCTCCGCATGATAAAAGAATATGGAGCAGTCGGTGGAATGAAAAGTGGTAGGGAAAACTGAAGCTATCGGAGAAAAACTGCTCCACTGCCGCATGACCCACCACAGATCCCACATGACCTGACCTGGGATCGGACCCGGGACGCCGCGATAGTGACTTAAGTTATAAGTACCTAATTCTTCCAGCCGCGCTATGTCTCTGGGGTCTATCGAGCCTCTGACAGACATGAGTACCAGGGATTTTTTTGCCAGGGCGGTCGGGTCGCAAGACTGACCTCACCGCCATCTCATCTTTGAGCCAGTTGTCTAGAAAATGTGGGAGCCTCGACGTTTCACTACCCTGTAGGCCTCCACGGCCTGTTATACCTTATAATAATACTGTTGGCACCCAAAGAGGAAATGCAGTGGGCAGCCAAGTGATGTCACACTGAAAATGCCATGTGATATATCAGTAAATCTCATGGTAAGTAATGGTTAATGTTTTCCAACGGATCTGCAACTGCGCTGTTCGTACTTCTTCTCCTGATATTATCGTTACCTCCTCTATCACTGACAGAAACCAGCACGTAACCCCCCACCCCGAAGTATTCCCACTTTGCTGTAATGGAGCGGCCGCAGAGCTCTGATGAGCCGGAGAACTATGATGGTAGCGGTACCGAGCGAGGGGAACATGACGAAGCAGAACACACTGTTCCTCCGGACTGGGGACGACACAGGGCCGGTAACTCGCCACACGCTTCGAACCTCAGCGCAGTCAGCAGTAACTTTCCTTCCAGTGCTCAGTGANTGGGTCCACTTGGTACGTCGGCCACTGTTTTGTCTTATTGTATCAGCCCCGGATGATAGATGATGATGATGATGATGGATGTGAAGCATTCGGAGGAATACGAAGTGGAAGGAGAAACCGAAGTACTCGCAGAAAACCTTCCCCCATTGCCACTTTGTCCACCACAAATCCCATATGACATGACCTGGGCTCGCACCCAGGCAGCCGCGGTTGGAAGCCGGCGACTAACCGCCTGAGCTATGGCACTGTCTGGATTTGCTTTTGTGTAAATATTTTATTTTTAGCTCAGGAAATCGCGTGTTGCATAATTACGTACTACAAGTGTATTATCGTTTTGTGATTTTGTGGGTTCGCTCGATCAAAGAAATAATTTCACAGAATTCTGAACACTTGAGCGTGACATACGCGCATGCGTGGGAGCAAGTGAGGCTGGTCTAGTGCACACCCCTCAAACTGCGGGGATTCTGGAGAGGTGTGTGGTGATTAGTCTTCAGAAACTCTCGTGCCCTTTAAGTCCGTCCTCCAATTGAATCATCTGAAATTCTGAACGACCGTTAATCGTTTGAGGTTTATATACACTTCATTCTGTGAAGCATATGACCAATGCTAGGCAACGCCCGCAACACACACGCGGCCAACAATACAAGGGCTGTGTTTTCCTGACAAATTAATTGATCCATACATATTTAAGAAAAAGTATTTCTCTATTTTATATGCGGTGGATTGCATTTACAGTCCCAACGTATTTTCGAAGTGAATAAGTGAGCGACGTTTTTGCGGGGTGCTGTATATAGTCAGTGTTGTTATTCAGTAGTACTGTAGTGCCTGCGGTCAAAATGGTGTCCTACGTACTTTCTGTTTTCAAGTATTTTACCCGGAAACTTTGAAGAATGAACTAAACATGGACACCGAAAAAAAGACATGAGATTTCTAAAAATAAAGGAATTTTTATTTTAATTTTGATTAACCCAGTTTAATTTATTTACAGCCGATCACAGTGGCCGCGCGGTCTAAGGCATGAAATGTCTTCGTCCGCTTGAACGCTGGGATCGTGGGTTCCAATCCTACTCAAAGCATGATGTCTGATTGTGTTCATTCTATGTTTGTTTTAGGTAGCTGCCTTGGGAAGGGCTGATCCCCCGTCCAAGGAGTCCTACCGACTGTCTTAGGTTAAGAAACTGAAGTGTTTCACGGATGCCCTCGGCTCCAAGTGGTAGTAACACGAATAAAAGAATAATTTATTTACAGACAAAAGGTTACGAAGCAGTACTATGGAAAACATAAGAAGCAATAAAAAATCCGCATGTTTTACGTACGTTTCTAAAAGCAGGCATTATTTATGAGGTCAGTCTTCTTACGAAAGCCTGTTCTGAAGTAACAGCACTGATTTGGATGAAACAGTGAGACCCTGTGGAAGATATATGCTATATTTTGTAGGTCCATTTTCATTCTGTTTGTTGACTAATTTTAATTGCCTTAATGAAACACTGCTTTCATATTTTAAGTCCCTTTAGATGCTGTGAACAGTGCCACATGGCGTCCCTAGTACTTTACATGAAGAGACTTCATTGCGCCTCATAGGCTACTTTAAGGGCCACTTTTACTTCAGGCCCTAAGTGAACATTCGGCCGCGCCATAGCACAGGCGGTTAGTCGCTAGCTTCCCACTGCGGCGGCCCAGGTTCAAACCCGGGTCTGGTCAAGTGGCTTTTGTGGTGGACAAAGTGGCGCTGGGGTAGGTTTTCTCCGAGTACTTCGGTTTCCTCTGCCAATCTTCATTCCACCAAATTCTCCATTGTACCCGGGGCAGGTACAATAGGCCAATCAGTGGCCGCCGTGCCGAGTGGACCCAGCTGGACTCCACCCCCCACTAAGCGAATTTAAAAAAACAGTGAACATTCGGATGCTGATTATTTTTAGTCCTCTTCAGATTAGGATGAAGATTGGAATTCTGAAGTTTCGTTATAAGAACTTTTCCACGCGTAAATTTCGTGCACAGTCTCAAATTTGAATGCATTAAGCCCGAATACATTTCTGTGTATATCTCATCAAATTCACATGATAAACTGTTTCGAATACGTTTCGCTTTCCGTAAAGTACACTTGTTATGCTTTATCAAAAGCGCTGTCCACGTTACCGCGAACACAAACATGTTTAATGTTTAATGAAAATTTGCGTTTTAATGGAAAATCAGTGACCCCGTTCTTGTCGTGTATTTCATGTGTATTGTAATTGAAACATGTTTGTGTGTTACAGCGACGTTATTTCCCTACGTCATATGTAAACTACAAAACGTATAAAATTGCGGTGTGATGCTGTGTCACAAGCATTGATAGAAATGAATGCGTGACGTACGTTTAACTACTGACAATGCTCAAAGGAGCAAAGTCGATACGAAAAGAATGCTGCAGCATGTAAAGAACTCTGCGCTGAGAAGTCACGTCTTAATTCGGCTACAGCAAGAAAAATCAATACAAAATACACTGTCACGTGCATAAATTTCGTGGCACATCCCAAGAGACACAACAGAACCCAAATACATTCAATACTGTAACCTTTTATCCCGTGAAGTATATGAATTTTAATTCTGAAATATATGAATTAACACGTCTCGTAATAAACCTAGGGGCCGGGATAGCTCAGTCGGTATAGCGACCGGCTACTGGCTCGACGACCAAGGGGTCGAATTTCGAGTCCCAGTAGGGTCAAGAATTTTCATTTCTCTACGACGTCCAGACTGGCTCTGGGGTCCACCCAACCTCCTATCCAATTGGTACCGGGAACTCTTCCCTCGGGGGTAAAGCGGCAGGGGCGTGAAGCTGACAACTCACCAACTAGTACAAATTTCAAGAAAACGTGGATATATACGTATATCCACTCCCCCATACGCCTTCATGGCGTAGTGCTTACTTAGTTAAGTACTGAGGCACCTTTACCTTTTACCTTACCACAATAAACCTGAAAGAAACACTCATATGAATACAACAATTGAGATAAGATAGTTTGAGGATACAAGTCTGAGTGTCAGTGCATTAAATACTTTGAAATAAATCGAAAAGCAATGTAAATTTAGGTGCTGGTCTCTACCACATCAGACGTAACGGTTATACTGCAACTGGGAAGTGCCATGACTCGGTCTTCAGGAACTCGAGCAGTGGCAGGTACGGGTATACCGCTCAGGCCGACGCTTGTCTTCTGGGTTCAGGCAGCGGCAGCTGTAACGTTTGAGAGTGGCATATAACATTCCCTAGTCACAGACGTATTGCGGTTGGGTCCTCTGAACGAAGTAATGGCATTTGTAAGACCAGATATGACAGACCTACTGCTTATGGGCCTGCCGCTTGTCTCAGCCTTCTGCACTTAGGTACCGGCAGTGATGCATATGCCGATCACAGAGGCCGCGCGGTCTCAGGCGGTCTTCGCTCGCTCGAACACTGGGATCATCGGTTCGAATCCCACTCAAGGCATGGACGACTGTTTCTTCTGAGTTCGTGTTAGGTAGCAGTCTTGCGACGGGCTGATCTTCCGTCCAAGGAGTCCTACCAACTGTCTTTGATTAAGAACTTGAAGTGAAACGAAGCGTTTCACGGATGCTCTATGCTCCAACTGGGAGCAACAAAAAGCGAAGGAGAAGAGGAGGAGGAGGAGGTATAATGTTCGTGGTGACAAATGTAAAATTCTGTAATGACGTATGTAATGATACTGACACATGTACTCAGACTTCCTCATGACTAGGTCTTCTGAAGTTTGCGAAGAGTGTAACAGGCGATCATACCCAGCATGACCTTTGACTTCTAGATGTATTGGATACACAGCAATGATTAGCTTCCCAAGCGCGCGCCACAGGAAGTGAAGTGTCACAGCAGGGGGTGCTGTAACAGACTTACGCCGCCACTTGTATGAAATCCGCTGGATCCCAAATGGCCAAATTAAATTAATTATTTGCGCTAGTTAATAATTACTGGCGACACAATTACATACGTCGTACTATTGACGTTCTTAATTCTTCTGAAGGGATTAAAATAAAAAAAGAACTCCGTGATTTTAATCCGCAAGCGAACTATACCGACCGAGCGACCGCCGCTTGTCGGCGAAGTTTAGTGCCAACTTTTGTGGATAGAGGGTGTCGCGTGGTCAGCGCAACGAATCCCCACGGCTTTTCGGTTTTCGAGAGAATTAGAGAATTACGAGTAACTTTCCTTTACTTCAGCATGTTACCAGCCTGTCGGAAAACCACCTGTCTTGGATGACCAAGATTTTTCTCCCTTAAGGTTTCCTGTCATGGCTAATAAGTCCTGCCTACCCTTCACCGGGTCAGTGGGACCTGGAGCTCTCATGCGGAAGGGTCTCGGTAGCTGGACTGTCTCTTGTGAGAGTTCCAGTTTGTTACTTTTGTGTATATATGTTTCTGTGCGTCTTTCTTTGAGAAAAATTAATTCAGAATTCATTTATTTTCCATTTCGTTGGAGTTCCTTCTATAGTTCTGAACAAAATTTGTTATTTAATTCTATCAACTTTTCATACCCGAAAACAGTACAATGAACTGTGCCTTTCACGAAGCGAATTTCGACTGACATTCACCCCGCCAGTCCACTCTTGTCCCATTGTTCAGAGTCATGTGATTATAAAAAAAACTTTCATATGCTGCAGTTAGAATTCGCTTATTTCTGTAGACTAATGAATAAAAGTTTCTGTGCGCTATCTTTTTACGATTTTCACATTTAAACATTTCCACATTTCATTCGTGGTTTGTTTAACGACGCTGTTAGTATTTTTTATTGCTAGTGGGGTGGGACTAAGTCCCTTTGTACTGCGGCCACTTCTGGCCTATTGTACCAGCCCCAGATGATAGGTGAGGGTGGTTGTGGAGCAATTGGTGGAATGAAGATTGGCAGGGGAAACCGAAATACTCGGAGAAAGCCTGCCCCAGCGCCACTTGACGAGACCCGGGCTAGAACCAGGGCCACCGCGGTGGGAAGCGAGCGACTAACCGTTTGAGCTATGGCGCCTTCACTGTTAGTAACTCAGGCAACATAGCGTCGAATGATAATGCTGTATACGCAGAATAAACAATTCGAAAGGACATGGAAGGAAGTGGTTGTGACCCAGCACTTACTTAAGAGGTTCTCGATGGAACCACTAACATTTAAGTCAGGACAGTCGGTGTCCCGACCCAACTGGGCACTCTCTCAATACAGGTGTAAGTCAGAAGCCAACTAGATCAGACTTTCGTCTTAATGTAAATTTAACTAGTGGTTAGTTACAAACCTCCATCCTCCATATACCATAATTTTGATAGTCTTAGTATGAACTACAGTGCGTTCAATCAAGGAGGAAACTTCGCAACACCGCTGACCGGACCCAATATTCCTCACAGATTGCTGCTGTAACTGCTGATAGCAGAATGAGTCAATAGCGCTGATAAATGGCTCATTCCGTTATCGGCAGTTACAGCAGCAATCTGAGAGGAATGTTGGGCCCAGTCAGCGGTGTTGCGAAGTTTCCTCCTTGATTGAATACTCTGTACGAGGCATATTCTGAAACAAAGATGTCTACAGCTGAAATTGAACACTGTATAGCTCCGTTACAGTGCGTGATTATTTATGGAATGCAATATATTATGACATGATGCCTGAAAGCCGAAATAGTGGAGCAAGAGTAGACGTTAACTGCCAGGCAACATCTCGGTAAACACGTTCCCGCGGTAACGAATAAGCCAGCAACAATCGAGGTATTTTGGGGATGATGATAGAAACGGAGTTTTCTGTTGGGGCCTACCCGCTGCTATATAATGAGAATGTTAGGCAGCTGCCCTGACAGGGCAGTCTAAGATGATTGGGAAAAGATGGCAACTGAGAATCAAATGAGTTTCGAGACGCCAGCCTGCCAGGATATGAGCTAAGGAGCAGAGGAACTGAATTCAGGAACTGAGGCATCACAGTTCACTGGACTTGAAAGTCTGGCTGTGAAGAGAAAACTTTATGTGTGCTATAGTACCGCGATATTTGGAGTGTGTATTTCAATGAGACTGTTATAGTTCCTGTGTTAAAATCCACTGTCACGAAACGGACAGTGGAGGCTGCAATAGACTTAGGAAACAGCAGTGAACTGTAAATTGCGGAGATTAGCGGTAGCGCTGTATTACTTGTATGAGTAGTTACAATTTGAGTGTATAGTGCAATAAATCTAAACATCGAATCAAGATGCCGTCTAATAGTCACTAATACGTGACAATATTAATGTTGAATTTTCTACCAATTTTCTTCATTTCCATGTATGATTATGATGCGCATATACAATGGACAGCAAGAGACTTCAACGAATTTGTCCAATAGTGACCTTCGGGGGGTGCGAATGACGTAGTGAGACTCGGTACTCACCTCTCCTGTAGGAAGTAGAACGGGTTTGGCACCGTGACACGACAGGTAACGTTCTGAAGGCGGAGCCAGAAAACTGCGGACTGCGTTCCACAGCGGGTTTTCAGTCTTCATGCCTTGGTGGAATGTAAACGCCCCTGGACCATCAGTCGTTCCCGCTGCGAAGCTGTAACCCATTCCAGGCAGACAGCCATGGACCTACAAAACAGATACCGTAATAAAGAAAACTTGAGTCTCTGCGTACTGCCGCCATGCGGAAGGCAGGTTACATCATGCGTCGACTGGAAATCTTAAATCTTGCAAGAGCTGTCGAGCAAGTTAATTCCTGTAGGTAGTCCAGCTGATAGTCTATACTGACTGAGCTGTCACGGCGCTTCAAGAGGAGCAGTGTTTTAACCTGATTACTCAGCGATAATTCGTTGTAGATTTGGTTTGAAACATGTGTACTTCCATCGTTCAAGTTAGGCAAGAACAAAACGTTCCACGTGGAACACGTTAATCCTTCTTTCCTCTTACATCGACTATAATGAGATTCAATTTAGCTCGTGGGCTAGCATGCNTATTATTATTATTATTATTATTATTATTATTATTATTATTATCCTCTCTGAAAATCTATACTCTTCATTTCTCAATTAAATATTTATACGTTTCATTTCTCAGTTCTCAATAACACTTAGATTTATGTTAATGAAATTATTATTGTTGTTGTTGTTGTTGTTTTTTTGTTTGTTTACTTGTCTGCATTATTGTGTTTTCCTCCAGTGCTTGCCTGTAATTTGTCTTTGACTTTATGTTGTGTTTCTCCGTAATGTAATTACTTGAATCTACACTGTGCTCTGTCTGTAATTGGCCTTGCGGCTGTTGACTCGGCACATAAATAATAAAGAACTAAACTAAACTAAACTGAATTATTGTTATTATTACTCTACAGCCCTGTGTTGGACCTTGGCTGGTTTTACAGTCTCCTGATCTTTTTACTCGTACGCAGTCAGCAGGACTCCTTAGACGGAGAATCAGCCCGTCGCAAGGCCGCTACCTGCGCATAGGACAACACACAGAATAAACGCACAGACACCTCGAGTGGGATTCGAACCCACGACCCCAGCGTTCGAGCGGACGAAGACGGTTCATGCCTTAGACCGCGCGGCCAGTGTGATCGGCGTGCTGTAACCACAATTCTTGTGGTATCCGAAAAGAAATCAGATCCACTAGGAGATGAAGGGATCCAACACTCTCAGGGCGCGTCCGCATTACTCGTGCTCATTTTCGCCAGGCTTGTCTGGCTTTTACTTGTGCTCGTAAATCTTCGTCCACACTACTTCAGTTGCTCGTCAGGCTTCGGCGCGTGAGGATCCGTATATTTACTCGTAGTGTGTATAGGCTGTAGTCGTATTTTAATTTATCCGCTATAGTTTTTAAATTAAAAATTTCAAATTTGCTTGTCTCGCGACTTGTTATATCGTCCATATTACTCGCGAGCATAGCGAGTCGCACGAGCACGAATAATGTGGACGCGCCTTCAAACAGAGCCTTCATTTGCTCGGCTTCAACCATCTCGCCCTATATCCGTATATCTTCATTTTCTGTGAAATGCATTCATCTATGCTCGTCGAAGCAAAAGACGTTCGTGATATTTGCGAAACACGGTTCAGTGACATTTCTTTGTTCGTAAATGTTATTTTGCAACGAGAAAATTTTTCAACTTTATCCGACAGTGTTAAGTTATTTCATTTTACTGGTGAAACAGCGTGAACAATGGGTAATCCATTTTACTTTCTCATATATGAAGTGTGTATGAGACAATATAGCTATCGTGAAGAAAAACAACACCTCAAGATTTCTATGGATTTACATTCTTTGAGCTCCCTTGAATACAAGAAAAAAGTGGCTTTTGTATGCCGTCCGTCTGTCTGTATGTATGTATGCATGCATGAATTCGCCCCTCGCTAGTGCCTGAACGGTTCAACGTATTTCATTCACAGTCAGATTTCAGGAGTTTATCAATCCTAGTCTGGGGCTCGGTGAAACTGAACATTACAGCTCCAAAAATAATGGCTCTTTAGATGGACTCCATGACACAAAATGGCGATTTCCTCGAAAACACCTCTAACGATTTTGTTTCAATTTCAGTAATTTTTGCAGAACACATCCCTAAATGAAACTGCATAGGTGCTATCTTCAGGAAAACAAATGTTCACGCCCTAAGGGCCCAAAAGCGAAATAATTTTCTTGAAACCGGTTTTACCGGTGAGATGGTTTTCATTGTAGCTTGGTTTTCAACAAGGGAGCAACAATCGGTTTGCTTTCCAAGATAACGTATTCTAGGTCAATCGTATATGAGAAAGGGCAGATTTTTTAATTGGCAGGCACCAAGGGATCTTAGTAATACTTAATAATGTTATTGGTACTAGCAGCAAAAGTGTAAAGTGGAATGAATGATTCACCTAGCGAGTGATCTTCTAACTTATACGCTATCTCTAAACAATATATGCGGAACATGTAGCACGCATGGCAAAACCAAGATTTTCGTACAATATTCTAGGAAAACATTGTTGGAAGACTTTTGTGGAAAAGCAGACAAGGAAAGTAAATTGCTACTGTAGAGAATCATATGGAAAATAAGCTTTTATTTGCGTCGAAACAGATTCTAATAAGTTTCAGTGGCAGGCTTTATGAAGTCGGTGATGGTGTTCGGTTTCCATAGCAACTGTACGAACTGTTTCAGGTTTACCCTGTGGCAATGAATTCGTTTTTACTATCTTTTGTTTAGTCTGAAAGGTAAATAAATTACATGAAACCATACCGTTTGATGTGTATTTGACAACCAGCATAAAACGTTTTAAGAACTATTTGTGATCAGTACACAGTATATAGAAATGAATACGCCTAAATAGACGCATGATACCGATCGCTAGAACATGCAGGTAACTCAATTTGTAGCAGAGATTATTTATATCTTTTGTGGACGGAAATTAAAGCATTCCATAACGGCATATAATTAAGGACTTGTTTCTTAGATAATTAGCTATAAACGAGGTGCACGTTAACTGTGCATTAAATTGCCACTGTCCTACAGCATCCAATTGCATCCTGTCTGCCTTATACTCTGCCTAGGTTATGTCTCATGACATAAAATTAGAGTTAGCCGGACATACACATTGACTGGTACTTCGTGCTTCCTCTCTGCAGTGAATGAAGTAATATTATATCTTTGGGCCGCGCCATAGCTCAAGCGGTTAGTCGCTGGCTTCCCACCGCGGAGGCCCGGGTTCGATCTCGGGTCTGGTCAAGTGGAGTTTGTGGTGGACAAAGTGGCGCTGGGGCAGGTTTTCTCCGAGTACTTCGGTTTCCCCTGCCAATCTTCATTCCACCAATTGCTCCACAATCACCCTCACCTATCATTTGGGGCTGGTACAATAGGCCAGATGTGGCCGCAGTACAAGGGACTTACTCCCACCCCACTAGCAATAAAAAAAACATTATACCCGAAATACTTCTATACTCACTGATCTTGTAGTACGGGAAACAGGATCGAAGTACTCGGCCTGCTGAGACGGCATGTCCACAAACTGGTGAATCACTCGAAGGGAACCGGTCACCTCCTCGGCAGCGTCGTCATTCCAAAGCTCCTGCAACAACATTCATTCATCAATGGCTCCACAGCCCTTTGTTGGGCCCTGGCCTCTTCTGCAGACTGTAGGACTCCTTGGACGGTGGATCAGCCCGTCGCAAGGTCACTATCTACAGACAGGACAGCACGAACACAGAATAAACGTACACATACATTCACGCCTTGAGTGGGATTCGAACCCAAGAACCCGGCGTTCATGCGAGTGAAGACAGTTCATGCCTTAGACAGCACGGCAACTATGATCGGCCCTGCAACTGCATAGACAGCATAAACTGCAACATAACACCATCATAGTAACTGAACATATGCATGGAAAATGATTCACTCAATTAGTAAATTCACTCTAGTAAATTATGCAATTAGAAAAATTCTTTAGATGCATACAGTACTTTCTTCGACTTCTTTATTTCAGTCACGAAACAAAACTGATTACTTTGTACTATAATAGTATTTCTTTAAATCACGACGAATTTAAACGATGCTTGATATTGTAGTTTTTCTTGTGAAGTTGTGTCAAGTTGTGCCTTGTTTAATTACATTTATTACGGGTAAAAATAAACATTGTAAGCAGATCAGTCATTTTTAAAATATTGAAGTAGAACGGAGTAAATCAACGCAAACTAGAAAACTAGACAGATATACGAGTACAGGTAAAGCCGTTTAGATGGGTAAACATAAACCTGTGATAAGGACGCCCTTTATTTTTTCCCCTTTAATCAGTTACTTAAAGAATTGCTTAGTAAGTAACGAAAGCGTCAATAATTTACATCGATCGGAAATCTTTTATTTTTCCAGTATGAACAGTAAGTTGCAAGTGTATGGTGAATGTGGTGATTTTATTTCACTGATTTCCAACTTGTTGTCCAAGATGATTTCCCGGAGGAGGAGTCATCGAGCAGTCTTTGTAATGA